TGATGGTTCAAACCCACCAGCCACTCCTCAGAAGGACGGTTGGGCAATCTACTTCTGTAGTGATACCGCCTCGGAAATCTAAGGAGGGGTCGCTATGAGTTGGATGCGACTCCATGGCAGTGAGTTTGGTTTGGGGTTTTTAACATTTAATTTACAACATGCTATTATTGTTTTTATCAGCTATCATCCAGTTGGTCCTGACTGGTGGCAACCCTACGCACAAGACATGCAATGCTGCCGGTTGCGGATCTGAGCCTTAGAACCATAGGGTTCTCACGGGCTGATTTCTGAAGCACGTTGCCAGGGCTTCTTCCGAGCCTGCCTTAGTCTGGAAGCTCTGCTGAAACCTGTTCCCCCTCAAGGCAACACGCCAGCCTCCATGCACAGACGTGGGGGGCTGCACGGGAGGTCCCTGAGGTCTCCAGCCCAGATGGTGAGAATTCCGTCATTGGACCACCTATGCCCCCCTGCACATGCTATTAACTCTCCAGAAAACCCTCACTGTACAGAAGAGCAAACTAGCCCAGAAGACATTAAGGAACTCGCTCAAAGTCACAAAGCGGGTAAACAACAGAGCCAGATATCAAACAGGGCTCTAACGTTTCCTTGCTGTTAATATCCAAGCCAGAATGCCCTGGAGCGTGCCATAAACCACAGATTGCTGGGGCCCACCCCCGGGTTTTTTGATTTATAAAGCTGGTGGGAGGGTGGGCTGTGAATTTGCCTTCCCAACTCCTTCTCAGCTGGTGCAGACTCTGCTGGGCCGGGAAGCACTTTTCTCTGAGCTGTGGTGCCTCGTCCGCACTGTGGCCCACACGGGGTCCAGTGACCGAGTTGCTGCAACAGCGCCCACACTCGTCCCTCGCCATCCACTATCGCCCTTGCTAATGCATTCTCCACGCAGCAGACAGAGCAGCCAGTTAAAAAAATAAGCCAGGTCCTTGGAAGAAAGGCCTGGTGATCCGTGTCCAAAGACTCAGGACCTAAAACCCTACACAGCACAGCTCAACTCTGACACACATGGGTCACCGTGAATTAGAGTCACCCGACCGCAACTGTGCTCTTGTTTCTTCACATGGAGATGATGTATTTTTTTTTTAAATTTATGAACTGGAGCAGGGAAGAAGGAACCCTGGTGGCACAGTGGTTAAAGTGCTTGTCTGCTAATCAAAAGTGGCACCCTGCTCCTGTAAAGACTGACAGCCTTGGAGACCCTGTGGGCAGTTCCACTCTGTCCTCTAGGGGCGCTGTGGGTCGGAATGGACTCCAGGGCAGTGGGTGTGGTTTGGGCTTTGCTTC